AAAAAGAAAAGAAAAGAAAAGAAAAGACAAAAGTACAGTAGTTGAATAAGGCAGGGTAAGGGTCCTAGGGTTTGATGGGCAGTCAATCCCCTCGCTCGATGGCAATCAATGCTGCCCATCACCGCGTGCCTGCTTATTTGCAACTGTTCAAACATTCGGTTACAAATGATCTGGGACGCTGGACCCGCTTTCCAGCGGGTGTTGCACCCCACCAATAGATGGAGCCCTCCCGAGACTGCTAGTGGTGTCTGCTCCAATCAGCACCCCTAGCGTCATCTTGGGTTGTTTTCTTGTATTAAAAAAAAAAAAAAAAGAGAAATGCATTTATAAATCGTGTGGATACACTTGGTTCTTTTTTCTCTTTTCTCACAATTGGAGTGGCATACGGGCAAGTCCACAGCCAAAAATGAAGAGTTGCCAGAATCCCATACGAAAATGGCAAACCCAATGAGGCTTGTACAATTTCTCCAAAAAAAACGGCTTTTGGGGGAACAAGACGGTCATTAATGGCTGTCTCAAGAAAAGGAGACAGCAACGACCTTGAGCTGGCTGTCTCAAAAAAAGGAGACAGCAAGGACCTGGCTGTCTCAAAAAAAGGAGACAGATCAGCGGCCTAGTTCAGTTGGTAAGGCACGCAAGTGGCATTCAGGAGGTCTTGGGTTCTATCCCCATTGGCCTCATGCACGTTCCTGGGCAAGCTTGGCGCCCGCCACCTAGAGATATGCCGTTGGGCCCCCCGAGTGGCATTGAGCGGAGACTGCTGATGTTCATAGGGGGAGGGGACCGGAGGGGAGGCACAGTGACTGGCCCATCGAAGAAGCTCGGTCCTGATGCTACCGGCTGACCCCTGGCCGGTATAGCCCACCTGCTGTAGCAGGTATCGCACCTGCTGATGGGTGCAGCTCCCGCATGGTCCCTCGTTGGAAGCTTGAGCACGGATGTGGCTGACCCCTGGCTGGTATAGCCCACCTGCTGTAGCAGGTATCGCACCTGCTGGTGGGTGCAGCTCCCGCATGGTCCCTTGTTGGAGGCTTGAGCACGGATGTGGCTGCTACGGGGTTCACCGTAATACTATAATGACAATAAAAAAACGCCTGAAAGGCCGTCCTGTCCAGATTTGACAGGTAATTGAATTGGTTGGGTTTAAGAGAATTAGCCGTTAAAAGGAAAAAAAAGAAAGGACACAGCTAGCTCAACGGAAAGTGGCGAGGGTAGGGGTAGTAGTATTCAAGAGAAAGGATTTACTTCTGCTTTTTGTTGTAAGAAAAAACAAAGATAGTCTCTATTGCCTTTTTTTATTAAAAACGGACCGCTAGATGACTAGCACGACGTGCATCTCCGTGGTCGCGTACAGTCACACAGTGTTGCAACTACAATCTTCCCGCGAATAGATACAGCTATAATGGCCGTACGTTGCATCTTTCAGTCTAGATACAGCTATAATGACCGTACGTTGTATTCGGGGGAAGAAGGTAGCATCGTCTTAAGCCGTCTCGGCTTGGTTTTCTATCAGGTGTGACAGATTTCGATGGCTACAGGCCATCGATGGAGGGGAAATCATGCGGGGCTCTGAGTGTTGCAGAGAAGCAGCGTTGCCCTTTCATAAATTTCTGAGAGGGACAGCAATAGTACCTGAGGATGGGTACTGTTACAAACTGAAAGATTGATCTTTTTCAATGAGGGACGCTGGACCTGATTTCCAGCAGGCGTTGCTCCCCACCAATAGATTGGAGCTGAAGTTGTGTGGAAAAAAAAGAAAAAAAAAAACGCAAGGCTGCTACAGTGCTTCATGTCTTAAGATGGCCAACAAGCCCATTGACTGAGTCCAGCGTGCCTCCAGCCCATTGAAATCAGTCTTGCAAATTCACACTCAAACATGCATGCAACAGATGAGAATAACTTGGCGCTGTGCACCCAACTCAAACTCGGAGATATGGTAGCTTGCAACTCAACTCAATTCCAAGTTCACTTCAGTTGACCATGGCGCTGGGCGCCCACACTTATACGTTCGACTCAACTCGACTCCGGATCACCCTGGATACCATGCACGCCAATCACTGCACACACACATACACACTCACTAACTGTCTATGGCTATGGCGCATGGCCACTAACARCTAACTAGCCTATCACTAACTTCTGCCCACTTCGTCTTCAGGCCATCTGCAGACCTCCCTTGCACAAGACGCCCGAGCAGCGCTTCCGCAGAGCTTCCGCAGGAATGAATGAATGGCTGGACGCAGCCTCTGGATTTAT